TTAGAGATGCGAAAAACATTCAATTCCTATGAATCTTACATATGAAGAGTTTTTTGGGTCGCTGATCACGAATCTGGTCTCAGAATCACGAAATTCAATATGGCGGACAAAAAATTAAAATGTCTTCAAAATGCACGGATTTTTGTGTTGGCGGTTTTTGTGTCTTTGGGTATCCCATTTGGCGGGTATAAAAACTGAAATGTCTTCAAAATGCACAAATTGTGTTGAGGAGTTTTTTGGGTCACTAATTACGATTCTGAAGTCAATATACACATACACGTTGATATAATTGTTATCTTTTTATTTTTTATTTTATTTAAAGCTAACGTGTGTTCAGATGTTCCTATTACCCCACTATACAAAAATTCATGCATTTTAAAGATATTTTAATTTTTTGTCCGCCATATTGAATCCGCCATTTTGAATTTCGTGATTTATAGTCCAGATTCGTAATCATAGACCCAAAAAACCCGATTACAAAAAAATTCATGCATTTTAAAGACATTTTAATTTTCTTGTCCGCCATATTGGATCCGCCATTTTGAATTTCGTGTTTCTGAGACCAGATTCGTGATCGGCTAGAATTGAATGTCTTTCGCATCTCTAAGCTTTTTAAAGATTCCTCTAATAAGCGATAGTTTCCCCTTTAAAGGAGTGGAGGGGTAAAGAAGGGTGAGGGGGTTGGTCCGTTTAGGGTGGAAATTACAGTTGGTACTAAAAAAAATGTTTCAGATTTTTTCTGCCAAAAATAAATTAGGCTAAATCTGGCCTTAGGCATGATGTGTTTCTTTAAAACCCATGCCAACAAGAAAAAATATGACAAAAAAGACAAGACTGTTTTGGCTTAGTGACCCCTATGTTTTGTCAAATGACATATTCATATACTTATTTCAAATTCAAATAACATTATATTCATGTTGTTTTATAATTTGGCTACCCCAAAAACTTCCAATTACCAAATTTCATATGGTAAGATAAGTTGACATGAACTTTCATCCGAGGAAAGTACTTCTGAGGTATGGTGCAAATCTTTTCTGTCTTAACTTGTTTCCAATTTTTGAATGTGCAATGCAATATTAAGGAAATATTTATATTATTTTATATTCATGTGCAGGAAACATATTTATCTATTCTTACCATAGTTTCTAAGAGCAACTTACAACAATTATTATTCTCTTAGACAATACATTCACATCAACTTCAACTTACGAAACCAGTACAGCGGGATACAATACAACGCAAAACGCAAACTTGTCAACTTTTCTAGAGGAGTCATTCGAACCGCCCGCTGGTGCCAATCCTTACCCTCCCAGCGAAGAGTACAATCCCGAAGAGGATTTGTCCACTTGGGAGCCTGACGCGTCATGGAATCCAGTTCAGGAGACTGACACTCCAGAGAGTCCTCCCACATTTGAGAAGGAGGGCTATCGTGATCCCGTGGAATATCACGATAACTTGGAACCGAGTGGAGCGGTTGATGTAGATCACCGGGTGTTGCCTGGGCTTGGTGGAGATTTGGGTAAGAATACGACGTTGTACCCAGTAATGTCAATTCTCATCAATTTTTTTTTCCTAAGCTGAGGACTCGTTAAGTAGTCTCGGAGGCAAGGATGTCGACCACAGAAATTTAATAAGTTTGACTGGTTCTCCTGGAAACTCTAATTCAAATAATCCAGCTGACACACTCTGGAGCCAAACAGACCAGGTATATTTTTATAGTTGCAAATTAATATTTAAAGAATTACCTAGATCCATTTAAATTTATCGAATTTTTTTTTAAGATGTTTTAAAAAACCAAAATGCCTTTGAAATTTTTACATGTTTTAGTTATGAACTTAATATAATGAGACTATATTATTGAAATGTAGCAAAGTCTAGATAATCGGGATTCAGATTATCAAAAATTCGGATCACAAGCATTGTTTTAATTATGTATGTGCGTACGTATACTCTAGGGCCAAAACAGTTGGTAGTGACTCAATCTCAGAATGTGGGTGTGCAGGGAATACAATTCTATGGGTGTCTAGAATTTAAACTTTAGATGGTTTCAAAAATTATTAAATATAGAACAACATATAGATATGTTGATTCCGGTTTTATTTATATTACAGATTATATTCTGCAGTTCTAGCTTTATAGGCAAAGTTTGCCTGTTATCTGCATCACTTTTTTCTTTTTTATTATGATGCGGCTTAACAAACGTTTTTGTTAACTGGACAAGTGGGTTCTGTGAAATGTCGTATTTGCATAGTGTTTTAACGGTATGGCGACAAATTCAGCAAAATCACTAAAACTGCCAAAGTACATCACTGAAAACTGCAGATGAGATGCATCAATGATTCACTACTAGAAATGTTCTTTATAACAGAGGCGGCTCGTCAGGTGACACAAGTGACGCTAAAATTTTGGTTGTGCAATTTAAAATTATTTTTAATTTTATATAAATTTTATAATTTAGGTATAATTCTATATTGAAAATATATTGTGTTTGTTGAGCGCGAACATCATCCTCGGACCATACAACGTATAATATATGCAAGTGATACAGATTAAAATCAGTATGTATTCTGCTTCTTTCATAGTATTGTTTACGGTGGTTGCATGGCAACGAGGCGGCCAATACGTGATTAAACACGGCGTTGGGGAACGGTACTAGTGACGCAGAAATTGAAGCAGCATCACCCATCGCCTGCCTTTAACAGTTTATACGATACATGTCGCCCAGTGCACGATTATAATGGTTCATTGTTAATAATTGTAGAAATGTTTCCTATGTATGATCCAGTATGTGTTTGATTGGAAACGCCAATTTCCAGATGGAAAATTGAGGACAAAATGGATTTTTTAAATTGCGAGAGACCTGTGCCTTATTCTCTTGATATGGAAAAGAGGGGAAGTCAAAAGACAACGTGTATGTTCGAAAGTTTCAGAATGAATGGTATTCCGAGTATAAGTGGTTGTGTGGAAGTGTTAATTCAAAAAAACTNTAATTCTATATTGAAAATATATTGTGTTTGTTGCCTGTGCCTTATTCTCTTGATATGGAAAAGAGGGGAAGTCAAAAGACAACGTGTATGTTCGAAAGTTTCAGAATGAATGGTATTCCGAGTATAAGTGGTTGTGTGGAAGTGTTAATTCAAAAAAACTTTTCTGTATGCAGTGTGCAATTGTGGGTGTAAAGTCGGGCGTGTGGATTAAGAGGGGATTTAACAATTTTGAGAACTTCACGTGAGGTTGTCATAACCACAAAGCTTCTTTGGAACATACATGTATGGTGTGCGTTAATGTACGCAGAAGTCCACATGCCGAACTAATATTTCTATTTTTTATAAAAACTAAATGAAAATCCTTCTCACGAACGTCAGTTTTTCGGTAATATTGCAAATGCAACTAAAAATTTCTGATTCATTTAAAGCCATTTGACCTCGAAAATTTGAAAATTTTCGCCAGTGGCACTTTTGTTTTCTTTTAGTCAATCAATGAATATGCTTCACCTATTCTCAATGTCACGAGCCGCTACTGCTTTATAATCATTAGTAAAATCATTAATTACTCCTGTTGTTAATGCTATCAGTGTGCTATCGACTAAAGGCATATAACTTCGACTCTTGTATCATGGTTTCACATTCGTTGTTCTTTTTGTATGTCTTATTTCATGTTATTTCGTGCCACTTAAGTTTCTCTATTCGCCGAGATTAGAGGTTTAGTTCAGAGTGGTATAATGGCAATCAAAGAAGGGCAACATCGTGAGCTTTATCTGTTTCATCCACTACATACATATTTCATGTATACAGCTTTTTTGTGCAGATGCTGATTGTACTTTTAACATATCATAAAATCAGCATTCGCTTACGATAATGGATGCCTTTAATCCAATAGAAAATCCTAAAAATGTTTCTCATCTGCTGTTGACATTTAAACTTGTCAAACTTTATGTCCTTGTCCGAGTCTTGTTTAAATTTTTGTTTTCGTATTTTTCTAATTTGTTTACTATACTAAAATTTCATTCTTCTCTATTTACGAATAATTAATTATTAAAATTTTTTGGGGCAATCTAGACAAATCATCGTCCTGTACGATTGCATTTGAATTTTCTTTAACCCTTAACTACTAACATGTTGGATATATGACATTGTCACTAACCCTACGTCTCACAGACGGCTATAAGTATTATCCATATATTTTGCATAAATTTACGAAATTAATTGTGATGACCTGTTATTTGTGTTCTTTGTACATCTGGCAATTTGTTGCCTTATATTGTTTGTTTAAAATTCAACTAATAATATAAGCTTTTAAAAAATTATAATCTTGGATGGATGTTCAAAATTTTCTGCAATTTAACATTGGCATCTATAAATGTCAAAAGTTAGACATAAAACACTAGTATTTTACTATTTTGAAAACGTACATTTTATTTAGTACACAGTAATCATAAAACTAAATATCTGTGAAAGAAATAAAGCAAAAAGCGCAAAAATTAAAAAATAACAATTGCACGTTTACACTAATGGCACGTCCGAGAGATGGCTACTCTTATTTGATTACAAATATTTCATAAACTAAACAATTCACGGTCACCGTTCTTGGGATACTGGTTCAATGCTAAATGGACATAACTTACGTAGCTTTTTTGCTTTTTTGTGCTTCTGAGAGACTTTTGTTAAAAAACTATACATTTGCATAGCGTCACCTTCGACATATTCCTGTTTCATGCTCAAATTCACACAATAAACAAAAGTAGGCGCTTGTAACAATGGAACATTCTAAGTGGGCGCATGGGCTGAGCAATTTATTGGAGGAGCACTGTGTGAAATGAAGTAGTAAAAGTTGTGGTTTTATTTACTTCTAACTATACTACCTACAATTTTGGCACTGAGTATACATATAATTATTACATAGTTATATATTCCAATCTGTATTAATTTTATTACCCATAAAACAAAATTTTATTGTTATTGAACTACTAAAAATCTGCATACATTATATTATAGAAAAGATTGGTCTGGATAATCAAGGAATCCTGATTACTAAAATTCGGATTATCGAGACTTACTGTATATGTTTTGTGCTAATTTTTTTCGAAAAATTGCATATGTTTTTGTAAACTGTTTTTCTATTTTCTGATCCAAAATAAGCAGTAAATTATTTGAGGAAATTTAAGAAAAAACATACATGTCCCAATTTGTAGGGTTAATATAAGTACCTACAAAACAAAATGTTTGAATGTTATAACACTCAAAATTGTAAAAACTGAGCCCGTTTTGATTTCCTCGGGTGGCAAGTTTTGAAGAGTTATATCATTAATTTTTTTTTTAAGAGACGTGATAACAAATCGTGTTTTACAACATAATTTATCTTGTAATAGCTGTAGAAACGATTAAATTTGGCTAATAATGACCCGGATAGCGATGTCACTAAACGATATCATATCCAGTATGAGGCTTTGATAATTTAGCTGGTTACTTGCAATAGAAAAGATGGCGTAAGTACTCCGTACATCTACAATTTAATCCCTATAATTTGGGACATGCTGTATAATTTACTTTACATTTTTACTTTATTTGATGTTCCTGAAAACGAATCTATACTAAATAGTTTGTTCTACTTTACAGAAATATTTTTATATGAGTAGTAATATACCCATTAGTGTGAAACCGTTTGTAGCATTTTAAATAAGTCTTTTCACAGGACTATCGCATTACGCCTTCTGGGAATCCTCAAGCGAATGCCGATCAAGATTACCGGCTCAATTTTAACATTGAACAACTGAAACTACCACCACCACCTCCTCCTCCACCGAAACCGCTAGATGACAGTGCTAATGTGGTTCTCAATCATCCTCCAAATTCCGATTTTCCAAAACATTCGCCTTCGCAACAGTCTCTAGCAAAGAGCCCCAGGAAAATTGATAACGTAGAGAGTATAGACATGGACCTCAGTGACGATGACATTGAGAACAAATTACATCAAACAAAACAGAATGATAATCTCAAAGTGATTGTTGACAATTCAGTGGAAGAGCTGCAGTTTTCTCTAGAACCGCCGCCTCCCTTACCTGATCTGCCCGATGATGTAGACGCGAATAATTTTCTCGATGATCTCAGCAATGAACTGCACGAGTTTAGTAATCTGTCGGACGAATTGAGCAACTCGAATTCTGCCATGCAGGATAACAGCATGTGGAATCAGCAACCGTTAGTTCCACCACCAATGATGAATTTTGGCGATATGATTAGTCCCCAACTAACTCCAATGAACCTCCCTACTTTAAATCCCCCAATGAATCCTCCCCCACTAAATTCCCCTATGCATCCTCCTCCCTTAAATTCCCCAATGAATCCTCCTCCCTTAAATCCCCCAATGAATGTCCCTCCTTTAAATTCGCAAATGAATCCTCTACTAAACCCACCAATGAATCCCTCCATGAATCCCATGGCTCCAATGAACCCTCCCATGCACCCCCCACCTAACACTTTAATGCATCCGCCTCCAATGCCTCCTTTATTGCCACCCCCTCAACTAACTTGCTGGAATGATGATGATAAAAATCTTTGGATGGAGGATGGTCCTGAAGAAGAAGAAGGAAACAATGAAATGAATCTTGATTGGTCACAAAACAATTGGGTAGCTCCTCCTCCCAATAACGCCAATTTTGGTTTTCGGGGCAGAGGACATAACAGAGGAAATCCATACAATTCCCACTTCAATAAATCACCTAGGGAGAGAGGTAGAGGTAGAGGTGGGTACAATAGAGGCGGTACATTCAATTCCGGAGGAAATATGTTCAGGGGTGGTCGAGGTACTCCCAGGGGGAATAGAGGCCATAGAGCGAGAGGTAATTTCTGGGGAAACTTCAGGGGCGGATTTTGATACCTATATATTTTCTGTTGACTATACATTTGGACTTGCGAGATATTATTTTCTAATTTATATAGAGGTAAGCCGTGAAGGGTAACTTGGAGTATCTTGTTCAAAGTGTTTTTGTTATGGTACATGTGTAAGGATAAGATGAACTTTGATTTGAGATTTAATAAGTCTTTTGTAATTTATTGATGGCTCGCAGAACTTGCAAGTTGCATCGTTTCTTTAAGGAATTAAGTGCTACCAAGAAATTCGCATTTAAATGTACAGGCTGTTAGTATGACTGCGACTGCTTTTGTTAATAATCGGTAGAAATGGTCGATATTGCCCAAAGTAATGTGCAATTGATTGGTTAGTACGGAAAATTAGTGTTTTCTAGGTAGTTCTTCTTTCCATTGAGTAATTTATATATTCATTTATCTCCAGAAGAGTGAGTTCCATTTTCTGTCTTGGTTATGATTATCACATCAATCATTGTTCCTAAAATTTTTTAGACTTCTTACATTTCTCTGTCAATTCCTGTCGAAGGAATATCCTCATTCATTCGTATTAATGTAAAATACTATAATTAGTTTACCTTTTTCGTTAATATGAACCGTTGGTTATACAGGGTATAGCAGAAGTACCGTAACGGCAGAATAACTCAGCGGGAGAGCATTTTAGAAAAAAATGTTAATACAAAAGTTTCAGGATTTCTCCATTGACCTAGACTTTGACTTTGAAGATCATTTCAAGGTCAAATGTGATTATTCAATTTTGATCCTATACTTTTGACCCCAGAAATGAAAAGAGCGGAAAATTTTACGTTCATATATGACCTTGAGTGACCCCTCCCTTTTGACATTGGGGCCCCACAAGGTCAAACTAATAAAAATACAGGAACGGCAGAATAACTCGGCGGGAGAGTATTTTAGAGAAAAATGTTAAATACAAAAGTTTCAGAATTTCTCTCTGGCTATCCCATTTGAAAAATAACATTTGACCTTGAAATAATCTTCAAGGTTAAGGTCAATGTCAAGGTCACCATTGGATAGCCAGGAAGAAATCCTTTAACATTTTTCTCTAAAATGCTCTCCCGCCGAGTTATTCTGCCGTTCCTGTACTTTTGTTAGTTTGACCTTGTGGGGGCCCCAAGGTCAAAAGGGAGGGGTCACTGAAGGTCATATCTGAACGTAAAATTTTCCGCTCTTTTCATTTCTAGGGTCAAAAGTATTGGGTCCCATTTGAAAAATCACATTTGACCTTGAAATGATCTTCAAGGTCAAAGTCAATGTCAAGGTCACCATCGGATAGCTAGGGAGAAATCCTGAAACTTTTGTATTTAACATTTTCTCTAAAATGCTCTCCCGCCGAGTTATTCTGCCGTTCCGGTACTTTTGCTATACCCTGTATAGAACTTCTTTAATTTTCAAATGTTCCGAGAACATAGAACTAGATATTCCTTCGACAGGAATTGACAGAAAACTCGATCAGGTGAGAAGCCTAAAGATTAAGTCATTCAAAGTGAGTTAAAAGTTATGAAAGTTATGACTAGTGTCGGTGTGTTAACATTTGTAATTAAAAAAAAATGCTTTAATTTTGTTTGGCATTTTGCATTAAACATATCTTAATTTCTTTATTTCATGAATTTTTATGAACTATTATTTTTTAAGGTCTTGATAATTTTGGTAGTTTGGGCATTTATATACAGGGTGATTCATAAGTAGTACTACAAAACTTAGCTTTAAATAATATGTCAGTATCTTAATATTTAGCTAATCTCGCCTTAATGAAGATAGACGATGTCAAAGTTAAATAAATTTTATTATTTTTTTCTGTAAACTCATGAGTTTTTAGAATTTTGGAGTGAAAATTGGTGTGTGAAGGTTATTTAAGGTGAGACATCATAGTACACCTTCAATTTGGATCTAGAGAATGCACCTGTTGCTTTTAAAGTACATATTAAAAAAAATGTAACTTTTTTACCTGCAACTTCAAGGCAAATTTAGTATAAAAATTGTATTTTTCTATATATTATAAAAGAGATATACTTATTTTAAATTATAATCTGCTTTGATAAAAGTGCAAATAAAACAATCTAAACATCTTGGTAGCCTTCCAATAAAGCATGATTAGATAAAAATTTTATATTTTGACTCTTGACACCCTGTGTATGTACTTCAGTTAAAACATTTTCAAACTTCAGGAAACTACATTTCACCACATAATATACATGCTCTGTATATACAGGGTGTCTCATAATTAGTGCCCAATAATTTACCACTTGATTCTATTGCCAAAAATAAGAATATTTTTTCATTAAACATGGGTCGCGAAATGCTTCCTAAGGGAGCTACGCCCCCTTAAATGGGGCCTCAAAAAATTCATTTTTTTTAAATATTTCGGAAATGGGTTGAAGGAAAATTATGAATTTTGACATCGTGAACGCTCAAAAATTTTAGGGGCGTCACAATTCGGGGGTCATTGGCTAAAATTTGCCCCAATTTTTTTAAATCGGTTTAAATATGTTATAACAATTTTCTAAGCACTTAAATCCGTTTTATCGAAAGAAATAAAGAACACCTTATTGATCAAAATTTTATAATGATCTATTTCAACTTTTAATGACCATTCATGGTGTCAAATTTCATAATTTTCCTTGAACCTATTTCAGAAATATTAAAAAAAAATGAATTTTTTGAGGCCCCATTTAGCTTCTTTAGGAAGCATTTCTCGATCAATGTTTATATGAAAAATTATTCTTATTTTTGGCAATAGAATAAAGTGGTAAATTATTGGACACTAATTATGAGACACCCTGTATACGTAGCAAAAAGGAACTAATAATTTTAAATATATACAATATAGCCCACTAAGAACCAGGATACTCTTTTTTTTCTTGTGTGTATAATGTTTTTGTTAAACTAATTATCATCCAGTTGGCAATCCATGGATTGTTGAAATTTTTGGATAAATTTTGTTTTTTTTTTTATTATAAATTATGCTACATAGTCTTAATGGGCTTCACTTAAAATTACTATGTTTAAATTTTATTGATTTACATGCAGACATATTTTTTTTATACAGATTTAAAGTTTTAAATTATACGAAATGTACCTTTCAGTTAAAAAACTAGGAGGTTTCGGAAATACCTGAATATGAAACATTTGTTAATTACTGACCCTGCTGATTATTATTGTTGGTAAAAGGAAGAGTCTACATATAAATATATTTTTTTTATTTTAGACAGGATTGCTAAATCGATAATAGTAACTAGTTCGGCAAGTACAGGGTTAATTGTATAAACAAATAAATTGATTTGAATTGTGTGTCCCAAAAAAAATTTGTGGATTTTAGTGGGGCCACACTGTATTTAAATATCGAAACTACTATTACAGAAAAAGAATATAAATAATTTACAGGAAAAAGATTGAATCGAATTTTCTGTTGAATAAAAATTTGCTGTCTGCATTAAAAATATTTTAGCCAAGATGGAAACGGAGTTGATTTTAAGGAAAGCAGTAATGGAAATTTACTTTTTACACAATAAATATATTTATTTAACTTTTAACTTATTTTTAAAAGGAAATTATGATGATCTACTCTTTGAAGAATAAACGCGTATTCATTTTTGCATTTCAAAATTAGTTGCGGTCTTTATAGTGTCGTTAGCTATTTGAAAGTTAAGCTGGATTCATAAAGTTTGAAGTTGACGGTGCCATTCACAGTACTGAAGGGTCATATGCCCGTACAATCTACAGCACCACTAAGACGAAACCAACATATCAAAATTTATGTATCCACTTCTAGAGAGACAAAATTTATTGTTTTCAAATATTTTTGGTAAAAATCCATTCAATTTATTTTCAAACTTGCAGTGTTCAGATTTTACTGATAAATCTGTTGCTTTTGTCCTTTATTTAGTAATGGTTTATTAACTTAGAAAGGACCATGGCTTATTAAATTCATAAATCATAAATCCAAATATTTGTTTTTAGTATATCACTAAATCTACAACGGAAATGCCTTTCTAAGTTAAATTTCTCAGATACCCTGTGTTTTTCTGAACTAACACTTTTTGTTTCATGTAGAATACCTGATCGGAACAAAAATGTAGAAAATAAAAGTTTTAAATTTTGTACATTAATATAAATAGCAAGAACTTTTAGTTCAGAATAAAAAAATGTTTGCACTGTTTAAACAGTATAGAATGTAGTGTTTATATAATTTGAGGGTACTATTATCTTTATAAATAAAAGTTTGTAGGAACTTCATGTTTAATGGTTTGATTTTTAATAAATTGTTACCCTCCCTTGTTTGCTTTGATTGTCCAAAAGTTGTATGCATTACAGGTTGTGAATTTTTATGAACGGTAGGAAAAATATGGCGTGCACCCAATAACATTAATTCCTAGGTAAACATCTCGTTTCCCCCAGTGAACTGAACAAGTATCAAGAGTATAAATTAAAATGGGACACCCGGTATATCATTATGAAAAAAATAATATATATTTAGTTTTTTTTTATTAAAATGTTTTTTGTATTTGTTTTTACAAAATCTATCAAGAAAAAAAATTAAGAAAATCTAATAGTAGAGTTTGGACTTGTTTTTTTGTCACAAAAAGTTTCAAATTATATTTAGATTTCATATATTGATAAAATGGAACATATGTCAAACTAGAATTCATTGATGAATATGTAAGTACTTTTTTTGTATTTTTGGCAAAGTATCATAAAAGTTAAATTATACATTGGATATCTTATTTTTTTAAAAATTTACTTTCAAAATTCTTTTTCCACTTTAAACACTAATTATATAAAAAAATGAAGCATTATTTTGTTAATATTGAAAAGATGGTTCTAAATTGTCTTCAACATTTTCAGGATGGGTAGTATGTATGAAAACTAGAGGTAATTCTTTATATAAACTTTTTTCAAAAATGGGTGAGGGAGATATCCTTCTGAAGGGGTATAGTAGATATACAGGGTGTTTCACAGCTACACTACATAACTGACACAAAGCAGGCACGTGTAGAGAATCTTCAAATATGACAATTTGTTATGTAACATTTTTTATTCTTACAAATTTTTGAAAAAATAATGGTTTTTGAGAAAATCGGGATTTTGTGAGACAGCTTCATTACTAATTGAATGGGACAATAAGTAAAGTATGCAGTTTTATGACTAATGGGCTTTTTCTTGATACTTGTATACGTTAAAAATGATACGTGAAATCATAGCCTACTAGTCGCTGTTTTACAAAATCCCGATTTTCGAAAAGTTTGTTTACAATTGGCATGCTGATAAAAAAATCGATTACATTTTAAGGGCTCCTTACCCCTAGTCGAGTCTTTATTGGGGTTGCAACAAATTCATATTTTTACCAGTTAAAAATAACAATAAACGTAAATCATGTATCAAATTTGGATGCTCTAAAGGCATTGCTGAAATATTGTTTTTCAGAATTTAACATCTTCAACGCTATATTTCAGAAAAAAATGTTACATAACAAATGGCATATTTTAAGATCTACATGTATCTGCTCTGTATCGGTAGAGTTATAAAATACCCTACATATTTTTAAAAAGACATCTGGATACTAAAATATGCAACAAAACCCACACATTATATAAGGGACAGTTTTAG